ATTTTTCATTTTAGCATTGTAATCATTTTTCATAATCATAATTCTTAGATGATTTTATTGTTTTTGAAATCAACTTCACTGATTTCAGCGTACTCGAAAGTATGTATGGTATACATTGTAATATGACGCTGCTATTCAATTTTTATCAGGCTGCCGCATGTGCCGATGCCGGTGTAACATTAATTTCACCATTTGTGGGTCGCATCCGTGACTGGTACTTGAAAAATACGGATTCAAAAGATTTCACTCGGGACAATGATCCTGGTGTTCAGGTGGCTATTTTTTAGCTCACGCATTTAGAATGAAATTTTTCCGATAGAGTTTAATTTATTTTCAGGATATTTTCTTTTACAAATGTACATATATGACATTTCTAGTGTTGTAGTTCAATTATTTTTTGCTGTTTTTAACTGTGCTTTTCGTTTTTTGATTGTAATCTTCTGATGCGAAACGTGGTCACTGATGAAAGTGAAAGAGCGAACGCTGGCTGTGACGGAGAGAGTGAGAGAGCAGTGGAACGAAGATTGCCTGACGTGCCTACTCGTGACCATGCAGACAGTCAGAGTGTGTGTCAGATGAATGAGGTGCAGAGCGATGTCATCGCGACTACAATCTGACTGGGAAAAACATGTTGCCCGCTTTGTTAATAATCGATTGATTTCTGTCGAGGAAGTAATTGACCATTTAAACAGTTTCCGATGAGATGGTGCAAAAATATCGGATAAGTATATAGTATCGAAGGGCCTAGCATAGTTATTCTCAACGTGTAACATCACATGCGTGGATTGCCTATGCCATTTGTTCAATCGATGCTAATGTATTTGGATAGTTTTTTGCCATTACATGCTACTATACTTGCATTACATCGTTTTTTTTTTTTTCAGAGTGTACGCAAAATTTATAATTTTTATAAGAAATACAGTATTAAAACGGAAATAATGGCTGCATCGTTTCGAAATACGGATGAAATCAAAGGTCTCATTGGTTGTGATTTGATGACTATCAGGTAATTTGCTGCTTCACTGCCCATTCATTCACAGTTCTTTGCTCAAAAAAAAATCATTCATGAATGGTGGTGCTATGTTTCCTGTTGCAGCGCAGCGTTGCTCGAGAATTTATCGATTGATAAGGAAACAGTTAATAAAGCGTTGAATGTGGAAGAAGGTTCGTTTCTTTAATTTTTCCGGGCTTATTTTGGCATGAGAGAGGAACTGCGGGGGAAAAAGAAAAAACTGTATGATGTAGTATGATGTTAAAGCGCACTTTTCCCTTATTTTTGCAAGAGTAATATTGTATATATGTATATACAATATATACCATTATATGTAAATATATTTATAAACTTGCCTACAAAGAAAACAAAAGCTTCTTTTTCGTTCAGCCAGTCGGAAAGGGGTAGGAAGAATATCGGTTTTTATACAGAAAGGCATAAAGGTAGTCATGATTTGATGACAAAAAGATTAGGGTGGAAAAAAAAGGATCTAAAAGAGCCAACTTCTTTGAGGAGGATACCGGATTTCAAGCAAAATTTTAAAAAAATCTGATTAGATGTTCTGATATAATATGAGGTTCCGCTTTGACCAAGCACCATTCTGGCTAAGGAGTGCCCTTTTGGTCGAGTGATGTCAAATTGTTGTGCGCAGTCTTTTTTTTTAAATGAAATGAATGTTATCAGTATTTCGTTACTGATGCGGATTAACTTTGACTTTTCAGCGGAGTCGTCTGAGTTATCAAGACCTGTGCTGAATGAGGCGAGGTTCCGTTTTGAAATGAATGAGGACAGAATGGCTACAGATCTTTTATCGGATGGGATACGCAGATTTGCTGCAGACGCAAGAGCTCTGGGAACTCTGATAGATGAACTGTTATGAATGCGCATACTGGTCACTTTGTTTTGCCGTTTATTTCGAATTTTAAAATCCTCGTGTTCCCGGGGCAAAATCGCTTGAGAGTTTTGATTTAGGATTTTCGCTTTCTTAAATTTTTCTATATCGCATCCTCACTGGTTTATTTCATCGTAACGTATCGCACCTTTCCGCATTTATTATAGCTGGACAATTTTTATTGCTGTGGGGCGGGAGCTTCGTCATGTCGTTGTGAGCCCGATTTCGTCCCTCTGTTTTTTCTTGCCGGAATTGGCGATCCTATCAAATTTACTTTAGGCAAAACAATAAGGATGAAATACTTTTGCGGCCCATTCCCTCAACC